TGCTGAATGTAAAAATATCTTGAATATGAGAATTATGTTCTGAATTTCACTCCTATATTTTGACGCCATCTTGAAAGAAAATGTAAACAAATTGCCGCCAAAATGACATACGACAATTTTTCACGTGTGAAGAATATCGTACGTCCAATCAAAAGCCGTGTATGGCATTTTTTCACACGTGAAAAACAGCGTACGTCCAATCAAATTGCATGAAATTAATTTACACAGTGAAATACGATTTTTATTTCATCATTCTGCTGTGCATAAATCTCCATACACATATAATAAAGTATAATAGTTTTTGGCTCAAATGCATGTTTAAAAACGCTTTCGTAAGTCAATGAAACTTGCTAATACAGAACTCGCCGTATACTACATCAAAGACTGTCAACTTTTGGTCCTAAAGGAAAAGTAATATGGTGCATGTATTGCTTGCGTGACAGATAAAATGCTAAATATTACTGGCTTACTATATGAGGCCGTGGGGAACACGGCGCCAACATCATTTTATTTCTGCTTTTTGCTCTTATATAGTTCGCGAACTTTACTGCGCATATTTTCTGATGTTGTGTTAGTGATTTCTGGGCATGTTGCAATATGACATGAAAAGATTTTTATTTTCGACTGACTGCAGAAGAAATCCAGATCGTACAGGAAAATTTGTATCAGGAATACGAAAGAAAATATCGTTAACAAAATTTCTTGGTATATTACACGTCAATTGATCACCAATCCGAATCGAAATGTTCGTATGAATGTGAGCGATTTTATAAGTTCGTTGAGAGGACAGGGCCAGAATTTTAAGGAATAATGTATCTAAATTAGGCAGACTGCAGAACCATTAATTCTAGGTGAAAGGTTCGGTTACCAAAACGTTTCTAAATAGCTGTTCTATCGATGTAGAGGTCGGAAAACAGTGCTGCAAGTCTGTGGCTCTGAAGTTACGAAGGTTAATATTTTCACTAAATGTATTTTATAGTAAAACTCGAAGGCCATTATGTATGGTATTAAATGCAAATTAACGCACAAGCGGCAGCCATTTTGTCAACAATTTCTACTCAAAGACAACATTTCTTGAATTTAATTTGGCACAATCTCTACTTATGTGCACTCAAATAATCATAGTTACATTACATGTATAGCTATTAAGATATAAAAAGAGCATGAAAACTGAGCATGCAGCAATAAAAATGAGAGTTTTAAGGATAAGTTAGATGTTTAAAGTTCATCTTTCTGTAACTTTTCGAACAGATCGGGATTGTTTGCCAACAGATGATTCATATTAGAGCGATATAATTCCCTGTGATAAGCCTGCATCATGTAACGGGTATCGTTGATAGCTCTGTCTTTTAACATTTGATGTATAGCATTTCTTACATATCGAATACACTGGGCCAAGACACGCAATACACGCTGGCAAGTCGATTTCAGATAAAGAACAGACACCAGCACATCCGGCAATGGTACCAGCACATTTCACCCAGTCGCTTGTGCTACAATGAGTATTTTCGCATTGCTCATTGCAACCGCCATCACAATTACAGCAGAATATATTGCATTTGCCATTGCCACAGCACAGGAAATTGCCTTTTCTTTTGCAGCAAACCGCTTCCAGACTGGTTACAAGCCCCAGTGCAATAACCAATGTAGCCAGAAATTGAACATTCATAATGTTTGCTCGATTTGATGTGCTAAAATAGAAGAATGGTTTTGAGCCATGAAAAAAGGAACGTCTAGCCACAGCAACGCTCAAAGCGTTAAACGGTACATCTAATATCGTCCCGTTGCAAAACACTAACAGCTTGCATGCTTTTTCATAATATTTGCGACAGTTTAGATCTTTTACACGATGCATTGTAATAATAAAAAAATGATGTTGATTACTTTCAAAGGTGTTTCTACACAATTCTTAACCTCAGATGTTTTAATAAATAGTAAAATTAGATTTGGAATATCTGCATTGAAAAGCAAGTTTGTGCTTTATATTAAGACTTCAAACGGAGTATAATGAGACGATTTATACGTATGCCGATAGTCTCACGGCGAATATACGAATTAATACATGCATGCATGTATATATACCATTCTCTTAGTATAGCTTCCAATCTTAGAACTCTACATTAATATCAGATACGATATGGAGACGGGTTACAGCATGCATGCAATTACTTCTAATCAAGTCCGCGAAAACTGGAGGACGTGACCGTGCATTAAAATTGTGGGATAATTTACAAAACCTGTAGCTCTGTCGGAAATAAAGATAACTATTGGATTCCTAAATATGAGTTGTTGCATGCGCGATTTATGTGCCTGATTGCTTTGCGAGAAAGCGTAGGTTTCATAATCGTTGATTGTCATAATCACATTTGAAATAACTACAATTACTAACGAAATATATGCAATTATTTTTGTTGAACAAACATCTGAACACAGTTTCTGTGTGCTGCGCAAATGCGTAGATGCTTGAACTGTTTGCTTAGTATACGAAGCGTTTTCCTTCAGTTGACAAATTGCGTCGTGCAAACTTATGAACATCGTCCCCACTTGACCCTGAAAAAGCCTATTGCAATTTGTGAACTATAATATTCCGGTGTGCTTTCCCTATAATTGCGATGCAGAAAATTATATTAGAACCAGCGCAGATATTTTAGTCTGACAGTAGCTACATCCCATGCATGCATGCAGTCATGCATGTAGACACATGAAGACACACTTTATGATTATTTATTTTGGACTCTAAAAAATTAAATTAAAATATACCACTAACACATATTACACTAACGCATGTTAGAATGAAAAATTTTAGCAAATTTTCATTCATTTCATTAACAAAATGATTAAGTGCGGAACGGGGCGTGTATTACGTAGCCGTTAGAAGGAATAGATCATCGTTATAAAGTCAACAAGCATTGGTTCCTTTCCTCATAAAACTGATGAAAGGGTCTCTATGGTTCAAAGACTCCAACCTACCTTTTAATTTACTGTTATTTTCAAGATCTGGACAAATCAACTCAGCTAGGCTTCACTTCTGGCAGATTTTCTTAGACACAACTCTGTTCCCACCTATATTTATATTCAATGCCTACATGCCGGAATTTAAATCTAATCTCGTTCTGCTTTTCAATTACTTCCCTTTTTTAACCTTTCAACCTAACCACAGTAGATGTTTATGCGCTTATCATGAAGATTAAAGACTTACTAGAAAAGAAAACATATATCTGTAGTCTCAATTACAGCATTAATATAATCTTTTTTAAGATTGTCTGCAAACGGAATCTGTGTTGGTCCCTTCGTCTTTTTCTTTAGAAATAGCAAAAATTTTGTATTCATTGATGACGATGGCCACATTTTTAGCGTTGTTCAGGGCGGATTTTTAGTGAGTTAAAGTTGCATATTTCAAACGAAAAAGATGAATTATAACATGAAATTCATTTTATGATTATTATGCGTTCTACTGACCTAGTTTCTGACTTTATTCTCTCTGGGGGATAATGTTCGTTACAGAATTGCTTACGAAACTGGTAGTGATTTAGACCCCGTTTACACTAGAACGAAAGTTTCCAGATTCCTCACGAAAGCGGAATGTTTTAGTACCGGATTCATGTTGCTGTTTACACACGCAGCAACGAATCTGATAGAAAATGTACTCGGTTTTAAGCCGTATCCGGAAACTTTAAATCCGTAAAAGTTTGTGGAAACTTCGCATCCAGAAACATTTGAATCCGGAAAATTTTCTTGTGTAAACGCTTTGCACGACGAATCCGAAGAAATTCAATATGACGACCAAACAATTCGCCACGAACAAGTAATGTGAGTGTAAACGGACAAATCCGCATACACAGACAACTAAAGTGTAGTGTAAACACCTGACGAATCCAATACATGTGTGTAACAGAATCCGGATAATTTTACAAATCCGGAAACTTTCGTTCTAGTGTAAACGGGGTCTTAATCTGTTTGTAAAACAAGACATGAATTCTAAAAATAACAAGTTTTCAAGTGATCGTTTTGTGCGTTTAATTCAGATAATGAATATTATAAATGATCATTCGAAGGAAAAGGAACATTTCCATATGTTTGGCATAGTGTAAATTTAATTGTAGGATTTGAATGAATCTATAGAAACCAGTAGCGTAGCCAGCCTGTCGATTTGTCCCGCTATGCTAATATTTTAGTGTTCACTCACTGTGAAAACAATATATTTCTAAAGACATGAATAATTATAATAACTCGAAATTTACATAGCGGGACAAAATCGTCAGGCTGGCTACGCCACTGATAGAAACGCTCTCGTATACTCGCTTCAAATACCCGGAGATAAACTATACTATAGGAAACAGCCCCTCGATATGAAAAACTGCGTTTCAAAAAATTTGCGGATGGCCTATATAGCTATTATTGTCGAGATGGAGCGCTTTATTATTGTTTCTTAATTCATATAGTTACTGATGTGAATAGCTATAGGCGATTCAGTGTCTTTTCGTGATGCCTTGCATGAACGCCATTATCTGTTCTCTCATGTTGCAATCACGATGCAATGTTGTTGTAACAAGTTGCAACAACATTGATGATTCAACAAGCTTCAACAACATTGTTAACAATACTGTTCACAGGGTGCAGCACAACATTGTTCACTCCTGTTTTTAACAACTTGCATCAACATGATGATTTTTACGCGTGTATATTAATATACAGAAATTGTCCACTCCGCATAGCTATATTTTCCGAACTATAGTATACTTGACATTTTTCAGGCAAACTTGGCGATTATACCAATTTCAGTATGCTCTTTTTATACCAATTTCAGTATGCTCGTTGTGATTTATTTCCATCTTGTTGCCTAGATCATAAGTTGGTGCAAGTGATATATTACCCCCTATACTATGTTATGATCAGTCTCGTTCTGCAAGTCATGGAGTGCTTCCTCAAATCTATTCGAAATTATTTATCTTTAAATGTTTGAACTGTTTCGTTTCGACTATGCTTGGTTTTTGTTATAGGAATGGAAATTTTCCATGGAGCCCGGAACCGTGCGACTGAGATAAGGAAAGATTTACTTTTTGGTTTTTGATTTCAACAGTAGCGTACAAGAGACGATAATTTCGTGGCGCACATATTCATATATTCATGTTAACAGACCTATAAAGACAATCGATTTGAAAAGAAATTAATCTTGCACAACATGAATATATGAATATATGCCCCACTGAATTATCGTCTCTTGTACGCTATATACTGGATTTCAAGACATATGACCTCTCGTTTGAGCACGTTTGAGCTTAGGTTTTAAGGTTAAACTTCCCAAATTTCAAATTTTTGTCAAGATAATAAACACTTGAGGTTTTATCACCTTAAAGCCTCCACTAAGCGTCATGCGTGAACAGAGGCCTTATAATGCATACATATGAGTGTGAATATGTTTACTCATTCGTGTTTGCACGATTAATCACTTCTCCTGTGTTGTGCTAAACGCGATATTCCTAACTCTATTCATGGACGAAAAATTTATTTACTTAGACAGTTTGTAGCAAAGATTAGGCGTTTATTCCAAATCCTATTTGGGATTATTGACTTTTCTATACTTTTACTATAATTATATAATTATCATGCTTATATACCTATAAACACAGTT